AAATCTCTGTTCCAGAATAAAAAAGACAAATGTAATATCACAACCAAATGCAATGCATGAATCATGACTGGCTTCTGGTTTGAGAGATGGGGTGAAGGTGACAGGGAGATGGATACAAAAGACTTTCTTGGGGATGTTGCTCTAGACCAGATGGTGAACACCTTAACCAGGGCAACTGGTAGCAGCAGTATCAAGGGGCGAGACGGAAAAGTGGAAGGTATTTAAGAGTTAAAATTGGCTGGGCGCGGTGGCTCACGTCTGTTATCCCAGCACTTTGGGAGGCTGAGGTAGGCGGATCACGAGGTCAGGAGATCGAGACCATCCTGGCTAACATGGTGAAACACTGTCTCTACTAAAAATACAAAAAATTAGCCAGGCGTAGTGGCACGCGCCTGTAATCCCAGTTACTCGGGAGGCTGAGGCAGGAAAATGGCGTGAACCCAGGAGTCAGAGCTTGCAGTGAGCCGAGATCGCGCCACTGCACTCCAGCCTGGGTGACAGAGTGAGACTCCATCTCAAAAAAAATAAAAAAAATAAAAAAGAGTTAAAATCAGCAGAGTACAGTAACCCTGTGAGACATACAGGAGAGGGAAGAGTAAAGCATGATTTCAAGGTTTCTAGATGGGCGACTGGATGAATGGGGGCGGCAACTATTTGAGCAAAGGAATGCAGGAGGAGGAAGTGGTATGGGGGCAACACAAAGAGTTCAAGTTTGGACATACTGAGTTTTGAGGGGCCCAACGTCAACTGAAGACTTCCAGAAGAGGACCTAAAATATGGGGAGATCTGAAACAAAGCCTTGGGAGGGAACAAAAAGGTTTGCATTTGACATTCAGAAGATCAGTGACTTCAGCAATAGAGTTATTTTAGTCAAGTGAGCAGAAGCCAGATTATGAGACAGTGATGTAATACATTAAAGACTGCAAGTACAGACCATTCCTTCAATAATACTGAAAGGCGGGAGGGAGAAATTCTGTAATAGCCTCAAAAGACTATGGGGATTTTGCCGGGCATGGTGGCTCACGCCTCTAATCCCAGCAGTTTCGGAGGCCAAGGCAGGCAGACAGCTTGAGCTCAGGAGTTCAAGATCAGCCTGGGCAACATGGCAAAATCCCATCTCTCTACAAACCACACAAAAATTCACCAGGCGTGGTGGCAAACGTCTGTAGTCCCAGCTACTCAGGGAGACTGACTGAAGTGGGAGGATCACTTGAGCCGGGAGGTTGAGGCTGTAGTGAGCCGTGTTCATGCCACTGCACTCCAGCCTGGGTGACAAAGTGAGACCCTGTCTCCTCAAAAAAAAAAAAAAAAAAAAAAAAAAAGAAAGAAAGAAAAAAAAAGAGTATGGAGACTTAACGAAATTTTTTTTTAAGGATAGAGAAGATATGAGTTTGTTTATCATCCAAGGGGAAGGTGCAAGTTCCAAGCAAGCAGAAGCTGCAAGACAGCAAGGATGTACACCGTGCTAAAAGCCCAATGCAAGAGCACAGATGGATGGAACGGACAGCATTTTAACCTTTAAACATTTCCAGAAACTTTAATGTTAACATTTTTGGTTAAAACATCCCAATTACTGGTCATTCACCATTATGCCTCAAATGTCGTCTTCTTTAAAAATATAACTATTTCAAACATAGAAAAGTCCATAGAAGAGTAATATAAAATATACCCATACACCTTAAAAAATACATTACTAGTATGGCAGAAAAAACTCGTATTCTCTCTCTTTCCTTCCCCAGTGGGTATACCAGTGGTAATCACTCATGTAAATCTTTATATCTTACTACATTTGAATTCATCCCCTAAGCAATACATAGTGTTCTATATGCTTTATATTTTATATAAACGCTAGCATACTCTGAACAAGCAAGCAAGAAATACGTTCTTGGGACAACTAGCAAAAATGTGGACACAAACTATTAGAAGATATTGTTGTTGTTCTTTTACTTAGCAGTGATAATGGTATTGTGGTTGTACAGGAGACTATGCTTATTCTTAGGATAATTACCTGTGAAGTATTAAAGTTGAAGTGTCAGTGTTTGCAACTTACTTTTAAGTGGTTCAACAATAATGTGCACATGTATGCATATATGAGACAGAGAAAGAGATGTATGTCAAGATGGGACAATGTTCACCACCACCAGATTTGGGTGGAGGGTATATGAGTGTTCACGATTCTAGTCTTAACTTTTCTGTATGGATCATGTCATGTGGATAAAAAATGGGATAGAACACTTTGGCCTATAAGAACAATATTGCTCCTGTTGAGCCTACTGGTTCCCCCAAAGCCTTCACTCTCATTACATGGTTTGTGGGCCCCCATATTAAAGAGTTATTTCACCCCTTTGGGCTCTAAGTGGTCAACTGCAAAAAAGAGGTCTCAAGTCTCAAATTAAACCATCAATAAATGTCTAAGGCCCAGCCCCAAACTGGCAGCCCAGGGCTAGTCTGCAGAGTTGTCTAGTTTGACTAGCACAGGATTCTAAAAAAATTAAAAACGAGAACATAAAAAAGCCAAATACAAATGGATCCAACAAAACAAAACAAAACAAAAAACCAAGCTAACATTACGTTTCCCCAATTCTGAACTACATGTAGTTCACAACAAAGAATGCTCATGTTTCTGGGCTACTGTGCACGCTGTTTATACTATCTAGTACCCGGTTCTTCACTGGCCTCTAGGCTACTTCCTAATCTGTAAAATGAAGATGATACTATCTACTCTGTAAAAGAAGCATTAAGTAAGTTAGTAGTGTGTGGGCACAGTAAGCACTCCATAAGGATTAGCCACTATATCGTTATTAATATTAATAACTTGGTAGGAGCTGGATATACCTAACTCATAAGAAGCCTTCACTGACTCTCCTGGTCTATTTTGCAAGCTAAAGTTTCTATTACCAATCCTAGTAACACCTAGAAAGATGTTTTAATGTAAATATGTAAAATATGCTGGTAAGTGGGGATTCACAAATTTTTTAAGAGAAAAAAATACAAATCTGGCTCTTCTTTGGAATGCCTTGGTTTCATCATCTGCATTTTCTAGTTGTTTTTTGAGATTGAATCCAGGCTTCAGTTAGATTGCTGCACCCTCCTCACTTCCAACTTAGCCTCCACATCAATGCAGTCCACCCTGGTAAAATTCTTTTAGAAACAGGCAGGATGTTTTTCCTTCTCAGCCTTTTTTTGAAGACTTCTTCCTATGCCCACACCTGAGGCCTTCTTCTCATCTGAACGCACACTTGTAACACTTTTGGTATTTTTGACTCAGAGTTATTTTTGAGAAGCAAGATTCTTACACTTCTGTTGTTTCCATTTCAAAAACAGGTACCTTTCATTTCCCCAAGTGAAAAGGCATATTTGACATATTTTCTAAATATACTATCCCACTTCACTGTTTTGTTCCGTGCCATTCCACCTTGCTTAGCTCACAGCAGGTACTCCATCATTTGTTGTATAACTAACCTCTCCCAAAGTTTTTAACTGCATTTTTCATCATGCTGACGACCAATACATTTACTTCCAACCTGACTTCCCAGGTGAACTTCAAATTACTAATTGCCTACTACTTGGCACTAGATCTAGTGTGTCTAAACCAAACTCTTCTTGAGAAGTGCAGGTCCTTCTATAAGAGTTATTAGGAAGATGATTTATTCGGCACCTAGATATCAGGCATTAATCTAGCTCCTTTAATAACATGCCATATAATTAAGTCCCCACAGCAACCTTATAGGGTTGGGTACTACTGTTTTACAGATTAGCAAAGAAGGTCAGATGTGTTATATGGCTAAGCTCACACAGGTAATAAGGTGCTGGGAAATTAGGGAGTAAATATTAACTCAGGACAATGACTTAAATTTGTATCCTTTCCAATAACAATGCGCCTATGCTAGAAAACTCACATTTGTGTCCTCTTCCTCATTACCTATCACATCTTGCACGGTGCCAAAGCACAGCATGGTGGTTACGAGCACAGCTTTGGAATCAGACAGATCTTGATGTGAGTCCAGGATCTGCTACTTATTCACTGTGAATACCATAATATATTACAATGTACAGAGTAGCTCTTGGTATATAAAAGAGAGCACAGGTGTAGAAAGTGAGTACAACCTGGGACAGTTAGGAAAGACTGCTCAGGCACATGGAGCAATTAAGTAACCTGCCCAAAGTCACACAAACTGGGATACGGGGGCACCAGGATGCAAGGCCACAGACTGATTCTAGACTTCCTTCTTTATCAGTACGCTACACTGCCTCTAGAATTGTATTTTTGTATGGGCACCTTGATTGCCCCCTCAACCTTAGCACCTAATTCTCTATCTGGCTTGTGGTAGAACTTTAAAATAGTTGGATAAATGAATGAATGGACAGACTAATAGACCATCAAAACTTTCCAGAACATGTTGAAACAAACTGGGCTTTGAGAAAACTTGTAATCACATACTAGATTTATTTTCTGCCTCACAATCACTACCAAGCTCAGAGAAGTCACTCTGAGGCAAATAACTGAATGCATTTCCTCTGTTTGAATATAATTTCCATGAGTGCCAGTCTTTTTATGGCATGTGGTAACTGAGTGAGCTTGGGCAAGTTATTTAATGTCTTGGTGTGTCAGCTGCCTCTACTGAAAGTGGAGGTTAAGAACTCTGTCTCACAACGTTGTTGAACAGTAAATTGCAATAATATGTACAACTGCTCAGCACATGGCCTGGGGGGAAAGGTGCTCAATTTTAGCTACAGTCTTACAGTCAACTTTAGCTATAAGCTCCTTATTAAAATGGGCAGAACCTGAAGGGAGAATAAGTAAAATAATCATTTTAAAGTAGGTAACTTACAGGAAATATTTTAAGATTCCCCATTCATAACTCCCTATAAAGAACTCTTATATTAAAATCCAGATACTGATGAATACCAATACATCACCAAAAAGCTACAAATTTATTAACTTGCTATACAGCTAATGATGATAAGGTGTGAGTCTCGTAAGAAATGCCTTCTCTCACCTGACTGGTTTTTGCTGTTCTGCACCTCTCCGTTATTTTGTGGCTGTTGATTTGTTAAAGCACTGCTTTCTGACTGGCTGTTTAACACTTTAACAGCAGATCCAAGGTTTGCTGCTATGACAGGAAAATGCTGACCCCTCTTTAGAAGCTGTTTGTGTTCCTGGTGGCGAAATCGTGGAGGTACTTCACGAGGATACCGAGGCAAGGCCTGTGGCTGCTGCTGTGGCTGCTGCGGCTGTGGCTGCTGCTGCGGC